AAAAAAGCTGAGCGGCAATGTCTACACACACAGCATCACACACACCAAGACATACTAGCATCATAACTTGTCGGTCAATTGCACTATAGAGCTTTTGGCAGCCTTCGGTATGGCCGGCACGGATGCGTAGGTTGGTCAAGCCATGGGTTACGACATTGTGGAGTATGTGGCAGGCACAATATGACCAATCTGCCAGACCGCCTCTGGGTTGCTTCCCAACCTCATGTGCCAACAGCTCCCCCTTAATAGCCCACATGACGTTGCTCCCAGCGTCCATGACAAAGGACGGCCACCAGCCGGTCATCCCATACTTCTCTAGCTCCTTGCGGGCTAGGTTCACCACCACTACATACATAAACACGTTGTGACAAGCAACAAACCACTCGACCAGTTGGTAGTTGGGCAGTCACCACTGCCCATTCACCCCATTATCCCATACTTCTCCAGCTCCTTGCGGGCCAGGTCCACCACCACTGCATACACAAACTGCTTGCAACAAGCAACAAAGGCGAATATCACTGGCGTGGTTTTCGGTTCGATGAGCGGGCGATGTGCCCACCGCGGCGCCCAATGTGGCTGGAATGGCCTCCTCCGCCGGATGACCGGCGGGCGGTCCGGGGCGCTCGCTCCTTCGGGGTGCGCAGTGTGGGCCCAGTCCTGCGATCGGCCGGGCATGGGGTGGCAGTGCGCGCAGTGGGTGCGCGACGCCGGTGCGGCCTGCAGGTGCAGCCGCGCGGAGGTGAGTGGCCTGCAAGAGTTACAACTGTCGGGCATCGGGGCCACCCTTTGGCGTGCCCCGCATCACGTGACAATGCATCGTATCGATAATATCTCATCCCCCAATACGGTGTGGAGGGGTCCCTTAAGTACCAGAATTTCTAGTAGCTATATCTCCATTACCACTAACCCAAATGGCCTGATTCAAGAACCTATGGGTTCCTAGTAAGCTCAACTAAAGGATGAGATTGTCCATTAATGTTCATTGTATTTCCCAGATACCCATAACCAAAGAAACACACTACCCCCTGTGCTTTACACCACAATCACAAATAACAAACAACACGACCAGCTGCCAGTTGGGTAGTCACTGCTACCCATTCGCTGCATAGCCTCTCACCTTCAGCCATGATGCTCTCCGCCTCCACAGGCACTGACCCCATGCACATGCTCCGCAACCGCCACTGGCGGTTGGCATGGCCGTCATGCTGGTGCGTCTCCTCCACCCAGTGCATGGTCATTAAAAAATACTCTCGCCGCGTGCGAGAGCGCCAAAGGTCGCAGGTGAAGGCTGGCCGCACCTTATTCCACTCCTCCATCCCCCGGAGCTTCTGCACCGCCTGACGGTGCATGGATGCCACCTGCCATAACAACAAAGACACTATTTTCAGGCTGACAACCAACACAGTTGTGTGTTGCGGACTGTATCACATGGACACCATGGGATAACAAAACATATTGCATACAATGCATGCGACGATGTGGTAATAGCGGACCTCATTGGTGACGGCCTTCCGGCTGAAGGAGGGGCAGCGGCCGTTGAGTGCCTTGCACATGCGGCGGAAGTTTGGAGACTCAACAACGGATAGTTGAATGCTATCCGCTGCGATCCAGCGGGTGATCGCTGACTGCATTTGCTGCCACGGGGCGGTTCCTGTGGCAAAGGCCTCCTGCTGCATGTAATGTGCCACTCCCACCTCACGGCCCTCCTCAGCCGTCCGCGCAAGAAACTCAGCCATGGGAAAAGCGACACCATCCGCCCGTGCTTTGTCTGCCAGCTCCACGGCAACGGACAACGTCCGTCGCGTGACCTTGTGGTGCCCCATATGCTTTTCCGCAGTCGAGAAGGATGACGACTTGAAGAAAATCCCTTTGCCGCATATGCAGCAAATAATCTTGTTGTGGTCATCTTCCTTCCCCGTAACACTGTTGTATCTTGCAAGGACGCCAGGCCGCCCCTCCTCTTCCACATACAATGGCTTCAGCCACCGGCTGCCGCTCTGCCCAGGCCCCAATGGTGGGGCCACACACCTATTGCTGCCAGAGGCGACCCCCACCCCACCCCCTCCCTCCGTTCGGGCCCGCTTTGCCCTTGAGGGTGCATTCCCACCCTCGCCACCGGCCGCGCGCTTCACGTCACTTCCAGAGGCGGCCGCCCCCGATGCCGTCAACGGGCCCCCAGGTGTCGCCGCCGGTACAGATGCTGCCCCCACCCTGCTGCTCACTGATGCACCCTCGGGATCCCCGGCCGGCAACAGCCCTTCAGATGCCCCAACAGCTGGCAGTTGTCGTAGGTTCAGAGCCCCCTCCGCGCTGGGTTCCGGATCCGAGTCCCCCAGGTCCCCCGTCACCAAATGCACAAAGTCAAATAGGTCCGGGAGCGAGGCGCTGCTGCCAATGGACGCCCCCTGGCCTTCCCCCCCTGCCGCTGCCACCGCTGTCCCCGCATGCCCGGATCCCTCACCTTAGGGGGTGGGGGGCCGCCTTTCCAGGTGCCCCTCTGTCTGGCCCTGGGCATCCCCTACCGCAGGTTGTGGGGGGCTGCCTTGGTGACGTCGGGCCGGGGGCCGGGACTCCCCAGCCTTTAGATGCCGCCGCCGCTGCGTCTGCTCGGTCTTGCCACCCATCGCAACAAGCACAAACTGCGCTGCACGGGAGCAGGGGCATCACATTTGTGGATTGTGGGGCGTGCGGCCACGCATCAAATCTGACCGCTGCATTCTTATTGGTCCACACATGAATTTGATGTTGGTATGTACTGTGGAATGGCCTCCGGAACGGGTTCTAGGACGGCCTGGGACGGCCTTCGGAACAGCCTGGAACGGACTCTGGACCGGTCTGGAACGGACTCTAGACAGGCCTTGGGCAGTATAAGAACGAACTCCTAGGTGGGCCGTACTGCCCTGGAATGGAATTGGGACGGCTGGACACCGTTGCAGATCCATCCCAGTCCGTTCCAACCCAGGGACGGATCCGTCCCTGGCCATTCCTGGGCCTGCCGGCCCAAGGACGGGGACGGACTCTGGTCCGTCCCCGTTCCCGTCCCCATCCCCGTTCCTAGTCCGTCTCCATTCCTGGATGGCCCACCACTACCCACATGTGGGTGAGGTGCCAATGGACATTGGCGGGCCACACCATTTCCATCCATGGATCAAGGAGCTCATTCCCGTTCACTTGAGTCCATGGGAACGGGGTGCCAACGTCACCCGCCACAGCTGCTCTCAAAGCGCACTATTTTTCCTTAGGTCAACCTCCTTGCTGTTGTTGCCATTCAAGTTGCAGCGGGGTCAAAAAGGAGGCTCCCGCCTCCATGCAGGGATGGGTATATGCATCTATTTTTTGGCAAGGTTAGTGCCAGCGTTCCGTAAGCTTGGCAGGGATCTCCTGATTGGCCCCATACTAATAGAACGCTCCGAACGCCATGTTGCTCTTGACTCTGCTAGGCGGAACTGCCACCTCTTGTGAGCCCTAGGGAGTCCCTAGTAGGGACCAGGCCCCCAATGCCCCGTATGGATCCATCGATGGATGCCTCCGGAGGCATCTAGTGAATTCCCAGGTCACGCTCAACATGGAAAATGTCCGATGTATGGCATCACAATACCGCTGATTGTGCCTTTTATTCTACATGTAAATGTATGGCTGACTTGCATTTCATTGACTGCCTCTTTGACCAAGTCCACTTCCGACAATGGGGCCGCCTTGTCCCATGAAACTGTATACATTCCCAGCAGGTTTTTCAAGTACATTGTGAAATTTCCCAATCCCATGTCCAACAGGACCATGGACCTTATGGGGCCGATGGCGTGTTGAACTTCCGCCCCTTTTATGATTTTAAAATGCACCCAAATATTCCACATCAGTACCCCATGGTGTGAAAAGTTGCCACGCTGTGAACACAATCCTGCTCAATAGACTCCTCAACACACTTCACACTTTGGACAGCACCGCTCGGCACCGTGACCTTAGTTATTGAAGCGTCAATTGTAAGGAAGCTTGATTGACTGGTTGATTGGTTGACAGCACCGCTCAGGAAGTAGTGGTGTTGGATGGCCTGCCAACCCCTTCACATATTTTGTCCCATCCAACAATGGCACGTCCATTGTTCACACTGCCAAAGACATTGGAACTTCTTACCATCAGTTGCCAGCCAACGGCGTCCCCAAAATGACATCTAATTCAATGCCCAGGCAGCCAGCGACTCCATACTATTCTGGCCAATACTTCCTCAATTATTATCCAAATCAGTCCCTGTTTTTTTTAATGAACTCCTATCAATTAGCTACATATCTGGACAGAATTTTGGCAGCGTGATGTCCATATTCCCGGCCAGTTTTTACCCTAAACTGTGGCCCGAATGTCGGCCACTTCCGCAGCAAAACATGCTACATTTTAGGCAAATTTGGCAGCGTTCCCCCAATTTTCGGGTGTTCACAAATCTGACGGTATCATAAGTGTCCAATTTCATTGTGTGAGTGGTACCAATCGTATGTCCGCCTGCATAGCCTATCAATGTGCTTTTCTCGCTTCTCTAGCAACGCTGCACGGCTGTCCATGTCAATGCTGACTGATCTATGGTGTTGTGGCACCCAGTCAGTCGCCATGTGCTAGTTAGAGCTAGTCATTGGGTGACATGGCATCATGACTAGCAACGAATTTAACAGTTCGCATACGTGCATATTTATTATGTATTACATTGAAACAAATGTGCTTATTTGTCCATTCGTCTATCCATCCACTTCCAAATTTGTACAACCATTAGGTGTTCAAGATAAACTTGAGAACATGTGTCTGTTGAATGAGCACATGTCATCGGCCTCTCAAAGAACGTGAGCGCGAAGTCAAACTACTAGGTGCTGAGTCTCATGTGTGTTACTCCACAGAAGAGCATAGCTCCATTCCAAGTGCATGCATGGCACGCTCACGGACACAAGCGGACAACCCACATTTCCGAAGGGAATGCACAGCATTCTTTAAATCCATTCCGATCCATCTCTCCTGCACCGTCAATACCTGAGTCCCCCACAGACTGGCAACATGCATTTGGTCGCTCCTGAGGCAACTCTCTGCCACTCGGTGGACGCCTCTGCAGAAGCGAGACTGGAATCGCCGTTCATGATTTGTTGCAGAAATTTATTCGCCTGGACGTCGGAGTCGCCGATATCATACAGGAACCCAATCCCGCACTCCCCCTCTCGAACCCAAATAAAATGTACGGGCATAAAAACATCCCCCCCTCTCAAACAGTCCTGGTCCCCTGGGGCCATGATGGGGTGGGCCCCATCTCTGCCCCTCCGCCAAAAGCCACTCCAGGGAGCCATGGGACCCTGTGACGAAAGCGAATGTGAAAACACAGGCCATCCAGGCAACAAAATCTTGGTTGCAACACGCGCACGTTCCTTCCTTTCGCAGCACGGGGGGGCGTCCTCCCACCCGGCAGACTCACCTTCGTACGCCCAATCCCCAATCGAAACACGGACTTTGCTAGGGGCACGCCGTGCCGAACAGCTGCGGCCCCCACAAATCATTAATTCATGATTTTCTCACTCTACTAGACGTTCACGGTGCATTACCGCTACAAACAATTCCTACGCGTGCTGGACTGCCTGCCTGCTGCTGATGGTGGCGTGTTGCGGCGCCCTCAGATTTGGAGCAAACACCGAACCCCGCTGAGTGTTTAGTTCAGATCTGTTAAGTGTTCAGTCCACCGCCCCTCAAGGACGATGTCCAGAATACGGAACGCTAGGCACAAGGCTCCAAGGGCCGTCCCAGTGCAGTCGTTGCAAAAGGAGCAAACACCATTCTCAGGCTGCTTGAAAGCAGTGTCTGTCTATGGCGCTGTGTCACACCAGCGCCTCAGGTTCCCAACTTGGAGGTCTTGGAGGTCTTGAGTCAACTTGCAGCTTGAAGTTCGACCAACCCAGGTTCGGCCAGCCGCAGTTCTATTGTCTGCCTACCGTTCCGGACAAGACGAGACGGAATGATGTAGACACGCACATAGAAGATGACCACCTTCATGCAGTGCTTGCACCTCTGCAGCTTGGCCCGCAGGGGACGGCTCAGCCGCCTGGGGGCTCATCCCTTATAAAGAGAGGTAGCTGCACCTGCACGCATTGCCATCACTGCAGCACCACACTGGCTCAGCCCTTGACGGGCTCCACAGCCTAGGGATCCAATGGCTGCCGCAGAGCCTCGAGTGGACAATTCTCCACGCTGCCATCCCTGCTCGACATCTCTGCAGCTTTTTTGCCCCCTGTGGACTCAAATGTCCTGGGGTGCTGATCCCTGATGTTGGAGTGCCGCTTATTCGTCGTGTGCGCATCCTCGTCGTCGTCAGACCGCCCCATCTGTGTGCATGACCCTTCCTGGGAGCAGGGCACTATGTAGTTGGTGAGCTGTCTGCCTTGCGACAAGCCAACCACATTGGGCTCTCTAGACTGATTGGGGAGTGCTATACACCACAAAGCGCATCCTCTATCGGCCCAGTCTTCTGTGCATCATGCCCCCGCTGAGCGGAGGTGCCATGAGCTCATCCATAATCTCGTCGTTGGTCAGCTGCAGTGGTCTGTTGGAGAGCATGTGGGCTTCTGTGGCACTGGCCGTTGGCCCCTTCATGGGATGCAGGCTGGCCTGCTCTGACATCGATCGTAACACAAGCTCCATGTCGACATCATTACCCATGTGGACCTGCAGTTCACATCAGGACACACACACACACACACACACATCAGCCCACTCTTCTGCAGCACTGCTTCGGCGATGCAAGCATAGGCACAATTGTTATGCACTTTACTCCAAGGCAATGCACAGCCAATGAATGATCAACTGCACTAGCAAAACCTTCTCAAAGAAGGGCAAGTATGCCATAACATTGCAGTGGCAGCATTGGTAGCAGCAACAGCAACATTGCGAACAGCAGCAGAAACAGAAACTGTAGCAACAATGGCAGTAACAGCACCACAAGCTACTATATTATCAAAAGAACAGTAGCGGTAACAATTACAGTATTGGTATAGCTGCAGTCATGAAATTACCAGTACCACAACCGTTACCAAACAGTGTGCATCAATATACCATCAAATGTCCCAACAAAGAAAGTCACAAACCAGTGTTGCGTCAATGAAATCAAAATGCCATCACTTGCATATCTGTTGCCGTCAACCATGCAGCGCAAAAGCATTAAACTGCTTCTGCTAGGGCAGGACGGTGAATGGACTCTCAGGTGGGTTGCACTATGGAATCCAGGTAAGCCAAAACAGTTCGTTGCTCCTGCCCTGTGGTACTGTATGCCTGCACAGCTCCATCATGTGCATGGGCAGGGTCAGCCCTACCTGTGGGTCCCTGGGGTCCACCACCAAAACATCCTCCAGCCGTACCTGCGGATACTCATACCGCTCCTGCTGTCTGCCACCCTGAGGGGTGACTGGCTGCCCCATACCCCCTGTACCAGCCATCACCACATCGCGGTCCACATTGCTGGGCCCCACTGCCAGGAGCAGAGGGTCAGCCTTCACATGCCCAGCAGCCTCGCCCATGCCATGCCGCGCACCAGAGGCCAGGTCGATCGCCACTGCCGTGCCGCCATGACCAGACTGCACCTGGAGGATTAGTTGCAAGGAAACAGAGGCACATCAGGCAATTGGCTCCAGCCCCCTCCTGAGCAGAAATTGTTTGCGAGTAGGTGCTTGTCCTCCATGCGAATTCAAGGTTTGCGTCCAGCTCATTCTTGCCAACTTACTGGCAAGTTTAGCAGTATGCACACTTGTCCAGCCATGCAGTGCTTGTTTGGAGAACGTCTGATAAGAAGACTGCAGCCAGCACTAGCTTTGACGCTGCGAAAATGGGTCTGCAGTTTTTTATGTCCAGTGCATCCAGCAAGGCTTCAGTCTGCTGGCTGCAATTGGACCAGGCAGTATTCTGCACAGTCACCCACGGCTTCTGCCATCATTGTTGTATGCTTGGCAAGACCCCATACTCCGCTACGATTCCCCAACATGATGAATGACATTTCACTCCAATCTGTGCACACTTTTGCACAACAAATGAATCGATCACACCTACATGATGATGCCGGCATAGTGGCTCAAAAAATACATATGTTAGGGCCTTCATGTATGTCAGAGCCTGCCATGCAAAGTTGGGCAATGGTTGAAAGTGTAGGTGCCACGACTGATCCTGGCGTCATGTCATTTGGGGTACAAGTCTATCTTCCAATGAAGATAAAACAATGGAGAAGCAGCTCCATCTTGGGCAGTGTCTTGCGAGGTTCAACTGGTTAAAAATTGTCTGCAAGGCTCTTCTCTGTGTCATGAAAGTGGTGCAAAAATCTCTGACTGCACCACACAACACCAAGCCAACTTGTGTGACATCAAGGTGGTACCTGTTCAAGGTTCATCATGGGGAGGGAAACGCCTGCGTGGGAGGCGGGCATCTGGAAGTCGCTGAACATGACATTCCCCAGGTTCCACGATTCAAGCCCGGTGGACTGTTGGCTGCGACCATCGCCACCGTGTGGCTGTTGCTGCTGCTGCTGGTCCAGACTGGCTGCCAGGGCAAAGGGCGAGGTCTCTAGGCGGCGGCCACAAAGGTGGACAGGGTCCTGGCCTTGCATGTTGGCCAGGGCGTGGATGCTGCTCAGTCTGTCAGGCTGGCTACTCAGGTCACCCACCTGGTCCTGCTGCAAACAGGAAGCCCTTGCCTCAAAATTAATGATGGATCGATCAGCCAAACAACTGACCAACACATCGCTTGCAGTGGTTGCACATCAGCAGATAATGCCTGCCTTCACCTTGATGTGCCATTCACTGCTTCATACCGCAATCTTGGAACATGTGCAAGCTTTAACAAGGGCATGACTTGCATGGCCTCACAGCAAGCTGGTCTGCCTGGTTCGGGTTGCCAGGCCACTGCGATCACTGGTTCCCATCTGCAACACACTAGAGTGCATCCCCACTGTCGGAGGCGCAGCACTACACCATCAGTACATTAAATAAGATGATGCTTGTCAAGTTGATAAACGAAATCAATTAACAATTATCATGAAATAGCAAAACATGCTGGCTTACAGCAAAGCCCACCATTTTGCGGTGCTTGACTGTACGTTGGACTTTTGGGTGCAGGCATAGGATAATGGAAAGTACTGCAATTTCGGTAAAGCTCTTCCATGAACCTAGCTCTTTTGCTCTGCTTTTGGGTTTGTGTTCCTGCACAAGCAGAAATGCACAAACGATGTTGAATAAATAGGGCGGATAAACATGTGCCTGGCACCAACCTTGGAAGGTGCAGGGTTGCGCTTTGCCACTGTTGGATAAACACATCAATCAGCAAATGCAACACATACGCAATCAACCACTTCATGCTCTACAGTACAACATACTACTATACAGCTGCAATCTCTTTGGTAAAACCGTTGTTTGCATATAGATTTTTTCGACTTCTGCTAATCTGCTGATTATTCATGATACATTTTCAAGCACTTTCAGCACCATGGGTTGGATTGTAGACCCTCCACTGCTGACAAATTTAACAATCTCAGCAAAATGGCCACAATCATCAGCTAGAAATACTGTGGCATCAGCAAGGAGGCCACAGCATTGATCCAATGTGGCTCTGGCACCCGCTCAGCAGGCACACTTCCCTCACCTGCCGCAGCATCAAGTACACCCCAGCATCGGACATGCTCCGCTGTGTCTGAGCCTGCCCCTGCTGCCCCGGCATCCCCTGGAGCAGGTGTGTCTCTGAGCCCACCCGCACGAACAGGGGGCCACGCCCCAAATCAGCTGGCATGCTGTGGTGCCTGGCCTCAACTGCAGGCATCAGCATGGCCTCCGATATGGCTGAACCCAGGTTCTGTTGGCCCACATACGGGTGCTCCTGGCCCCCGCTCATTCTGTCCATCCCACCCATCCTGCGCTGGAGCTCAGCCGCCCTTGCCAGGATGCCCTCCTGGTTCACCGGGCGCAGCATGGCCGAGCGGGGTGCGTGGTCCTGTGGGATGCCCCCCAGGTTGCCAGCTGAGGGCGTCGGCAGCTGCGGTGGCGGTGGAGGCGGTAGCATTGCTGCCTTCCTGCCACTGGGGATGGCGTGGGCTAGGCGAAGGAGGTCCACAGGGCTCGTGGCTGGCGCCTCTGCAAGGTTGGGCTGACTGTTCCTGGACACTGTGCAGGGGAGGGAGGAGGGACGAGGGTGTCATGACAATGGAAGGGGGCATCCAAACAGTGCTGCAGCCTTTGCTTAAACTGAAGTCTTTTTAGCAGTCAGTGTGCTCTATGCCAACGATGAAAAATACATACAAATGAAATAGCTCAACAAATAAACATGCACAAGTGACTGCAGATTCAGCAACTGCTGCAGCATTAATGCAAAGCCACAGCAGGGGCCCTGTCATCCAGGTGTCCCTTGCACTGAGAGTTGTAACTGCTGAAGCCATGCATCTTGGCAGTGAGGCACAGGAGCATGGCCCAAGGAGGCAAAGTTTTTCTCCCTCTATTTCGGATAGGGCAGCATTTCCTAGGAATCCACATACAGGAGTGGGAATGGAGGCACAGGGCCAGCAGGGCGTCCGGCAGTGACAATCCCTGGCAGCAATCCTATCCAATGAGATTTTCGCACACTCAGTCACTAGAGCCACAAGATCAACTTGTACTTGTTCCAATATCTTGCATCACATTCCAGAGTCTAGGTTGTGCCAATACCGCAACAGAGGAGATTCGAAAGGCATCCAATTTAATGGAACATCGTGGCCCCAGGCTGTTTAAACAGCGCCCCAACTTGCAATCAGTGAATCAGAACAAGCCTAGCTTACTTTGCATATTTGAGCTCAGTTCAGCTGAGTTCAGCATAGTTTGCAACACAGCTTCATTTAGCTTAGTTTGGCTGCTTGTATTCTTGGATGCAACTGACGGGAGCTGCCATCAAAGACTCACTCAGGATGCTGCTTCCCGCTGCCCCAGCCATCTGCTGCAGGTTGCGGGGGCTGGGTGCTGAGTTGTAGCGCTGCAGGGCCTCTTCCCTGCCCCCCATCGACCTCAACCACTCGGGGTTCAGGCTGGCGATCGGGCTACCAACGCCGGGCGCTGTGTTGCTGTAGCTTCGTGTCATGGTACTTGGGCCCTCGCCCTTGATGACTGGAGCCAGCAAAGCATCTGAATGGCCACTTTCCTCGAGCTCCAGAGCCCTGAGGTAAGCCTGAACCTCAGGAGGGCAGCTCTCCTTGAAGTTGACGTAAGATCTGGCCTCCCTGTATCATTCAAAATTACTGTAAGAAGCTCTAAGCAACTGAAAGGAAGGTTCTGGCAGAGCACTGGAGGAAAGCTGCAGCAAACGAGGTGCTTGTGGAGGCGACCAAAAACTGCCAGTGGACCAGAGTGGACTAAGGTTCAACGGATGCATAACATTACTGTTCAGACCTGTTGAAGGCTGGCCAGTAGGCACTGGTGCTGGCACAGGATAGAAACGTAAGCATGGCCAACGTGGGAGAGCTTGAGCATTCTCTAAGTCAATCCACTCTGCCTTGCAATGTACGAGTTGCAACACATGCCCGTCTTCAGAAGTGCATGCCCACGCCAGCAATCCACACCATGGTCGAAGGTGTCCAAAGCGACTCGAGAGACAGGACTGTCCTGAGCTTATGTCACCTCAAATGCACCGCATGGGCCAACACAATGTCACACAGCACACACAGCACACTTGATGCATCCATGTACCATGGAACGCAATATTGTGCACAACAATGTCCAACCACGCGCTTCAGCTTGTCAGCCCTTCAAACCCCTTGATATGAGAAACGTGGACTGCAAATGAGCAATGATGAGGGTCGATCTCCTCCAGTGAATGGGCAACGTTCACAAAGTAGGATTTCCATCGCAACCAAAGGTTGTTCTGGGGATGGAAGCCATCCTTTTCTGTTTGTGCGCGCGCAACATGAGTTGACAGCCACCATGGGCAGCAGGCTTGGTCTGCTTAGGCATCCACAGGCTTTGAATGAGGTCGGGTGAGCCCCAGAGCCTGACGGCCCACCCACCTTGGTTTAAGGTTCCATACAGCCGCATCGTAAGCCTGTGCAGCCTCCAGTTCAGTGTCAAACAGCTCTGTACCGCAGGCACACACACTGGCGATTGTCACCAGGGAACCTAAACGTTCTTTGGTGAGACTGCACGCTTGCTATATTGCAGCACTTCTCTTCCCAAAATCAATACTCCAGCAATTGGAACCAGGAAACCTTGCCACAGCGAGTGAACTGACCCACAGCTCCAGTAAGGAGGCCTGTACTGTGTGACAACCATGAAAACGAAGTATCTTTATGCGGACATGCTTCATTACAGGAACAAATCAAGTGAAAAAATACTGTTGCAACATCTGTTACCCTATTCATTGAATAATGTGCCCTGTGCAAAAGTGGTGTACGGGACACGAGTTCGTAAGACAAAAGGTTGTTGGCAATTTGTAGCACAGCAATATATAAAAAACAAATCACAACAGTCACAAATTAACAAATAACGCATGACATGGCACCAATCCTAACCTGGGTACCAACATAAACAGCACATGAACGCACACACGCGTCCTTGCTGGCTACCTCTGTAAGCCCACTTCCTGTTGACCATAACCTTGGCCTCCCATTTGCCTTTCTTCTTACTGACCCCCCTGAACCTGGACGACTTGTTCATTGGCTTCACGCCAAGGGCGCGCTGAAGTTCTTCGCGGGACATTCCATTGAAATGACCCTGACGGCAGCATGGAACAATCAGACGTGCACTGGAGCCCCACAGACAATTAGCAACTTTATCAGTCCACAGTCCATGTGGAGATGTGCCAGTCATCATAAATATCAATACTGGAGATCATCTTCAAGCCATTCTAGAAGTCTAGGCAGTTACATCTCGCACCATCTACGCACAGCAATGTGCCAGCACGAATTGCATTCGAATGATCCAAAACAAAGCAGTATGGCTGCAAACATATGCACAGGCATGCTGGCACACGTTCAATAGTCTGCATCGTGAAAATTGACAGTGCGCTGCAGCACAACGTAATAGGAGCAAACACACACAACACTAAACAAAGCCACTGGAACAAAAAGCTGCACAGTGCACCATGGCCTGTTGTCTGCCTGCGCCCCAGAGGCGAAGGCACTGGCAGCATCACTGTCTTTGCACCCTGGGTTGGGAGGGGGTTCAGCACCTTCATTAATTCTTCCCTGTATTCAGCAAGGGGAAAGTTCGTTTCAGCATTGTCCTTGTGCAGGCTGATGCTGACCCGATCGTACACTCGCGCTGCCTGCTCCTCTGTTGGGTAATAACCTGCAGTCATCGACACCAGTTCAGCAGCCTGACATCTCAGCTGCGCTGAGGCACCTGACGCACTCTTGCCGGTGTGGTACAATATCTTGCTGTGCTCTTCTCCTGTTGTTTCATGTTGCATCGCAGAGGAAGGTGGCTTGGGGGCTTTCCCGAATTGAATATGAGAACCGCACAGTGAGCACCTTTGGTAACCAGTTGGGAGCGCATTGTAAATGATATCCCTACAGAAGCTATTGCACATAAATGAATAGAAATCTAGGCATAAACAAAAAAAAAGCAAAAATAGATTAGCAAACAAATGTGATCTGTCTTCCACTGGGAACTCTGCCTGTTTTTCAATGGACCTGGCTTTCTGGTTTGGACAAACATTCATAGGGTGGCCCTGTAGCCCCCATAAGCCCCCACAGCCTCACTGCACTCAGCCCTTGATGTGCTACAGCCTATGTACTGCATGCTAACAATACGACAACGTTGCATCACAACACAGTCGATTGGCTTGCAGATATACACAGGGAGCGATCTCTGGCTTACCTAAATGAGTGACCTTGCCATGGTACAAAATCCTGGCTTGCCACTGATTCTTCCTGTTGCTGGACCCCACCCCAAGATATTTGGAGGTCCGTCTTCGGTTGCTCAATCGACGCCGTGGCAACTGGAACACACCGCAGGCAGGTGCACATGTGAGGCATTTGAGGAATCCACATTACAAAGGAGGGCTTGGAGTTGTGGACACATTTCGATCTGCCAGCTGGGGGAAGACACCATGCACTGTTTGCTGCCCATCTCTCTACGTTGTGTGCAACAGCAACCCCAACATGTTGAAGTTCCATGAATTCCAATAACAGCATATTCTATCTTGTGCAAGATTCTGAGGAGCGCAGTTTCGCAACTAATCATGACTAACCCTTGCAGCTTGCAGGCAAGGGGAGGCATAGAAACAACCGACCAGTGCTTCTTCAATGTCGGAAGGTCGCTGTTGTCCACAGCACTGCCCATATCATGTGCCCAGATACTTCTGGGTCGCTGCATCGCCAGCCGCTTGATCATGCAGCTATACTGGCCAGTATCTCTTCCATTGGGACAAAGTCTATTGGCACATCATCACTGACACGCATTGTTTTCTCTTGGGGTAGAAAAGAAGCATTGTCATGATAGATTCGTGCACAGTGGCAGCATTGCTTGCACAGCACACAGAGGTAAACCTGCCGATGCACACCATATTCATGTGTTGTGTGTCCTCACCCTGCCTTTCAAGACTTGCACATCATCCATCACAATATGGAACCGAGTCTGCACTCTATTTTATTATTCTTATCAGGGGTGCACCAATTGTACGACAGGTGCCATTTCTTTTGCCCATTCCTTCCTGGAAGTCATTGCCACTGTCCTTTGAAGGTAGCTGTGCACCTGACATCCCTAATCGAACACTATTTCTGCATTCCCAATGCATGCATCTGCTCAAGCGTACTGTATCCTTTGTGATACACGACGGTTGGCAGTGATCACCAGGAAGGTGTCCACGTCACCATCAGTTTGGACTCTTGCACACTGGGAAGTAGGTCCAGTCAGCCAGTGCGCAGCTATTGGGACAAAATTTGAGGCTGCCCACAGTCCTGTTGCTGCAACGGGGGGGCAAGAGCCTTGTCGATTCCAAGCGTTGCAGTGTGGCATTGATTGCTGAACTGCAACTAAGCATTGTTTGCATTGTCAAGTGTTGTGTGCAAGCTCTACATATTGGGCACTGCTTCTGTGTGGCTCCTCACCTTTGCCCTCTCATTCTTCAGAAGTGCTTTTACTTCCTCTCTAGTCTTTCCAACCAACTTGGGTACCTGGCCACGAAATTCAACTGTGAGATGGCCAATGTTGCAATCTCTGGCACAATCACCAGAAAATGCACTTCAGCACACGATCAATCTGCCATGCTACTTGTCCTACAAAGTCTCAAATTGAGACTTTGCAAGGCCAGTTTCTTACACTCATTCTGCACATGCTTACAACACTCACACACACTCTGCCAATGTACAACGAAACCAATATGCAAGCGCTGGCCCAAGTCAGTGGAAGGCCCCCCAAGTCCTCTGTTGACAGCGCGCCCAGTTCATGGGCTTGCAGGTGCAACATGCATCCCTGAGAATTCCAGCTCAAAGGGGTGGTGGCCCAATTGTCGTGGCAAAATCTAACAAGCTGCTGTTGGCAGCGGTCTTCTCGTAGTCCCCACATATCGACCTGACATTCCAGGTGAGGCCTCCAGGCAAGGGCATGGCCGCGTCCCCAAACAGGAAGCAAGGTGGGGCCCCAAGCTCACTGTGCGGAACAGTCAAAAACAGTTCGCGCCCATCCAGATGAGAACAGCCGTCCGCAAGCGGAGCCAAGCACGGCCAAGGAGCGGACTGCTTCTGTCCATCGGAGACCCTCAAAGCGCCGCAAGCGCCTCCCCCCTCCCAGACCACATTTACCGCCGAGGTGTCATATTCGCCCAGCGAGAAGTTCAAAATGGACTTGGACGCGTCAGGTCCCAGCAGGCCGATGGCCGCGCGGTCGTACGCCCTGGCCGCCGACTCCTCCGTGTCGAAGTAGCCCACGGACACGCCGGACTTGCCCAGAGCGGCGACCTGCGAGGGCGGACGCGAAACACACTGAGCGCACGGCTGGAGGCCTGGCACCGCGGGACCGACACAAGACGCCTGCCAGTGCGCGCCATGCGAGCTGATGAGTAACAGCAGGCACGGCTTTTGCCATGGCGCCCATAGCGTTGTTTTGCGCAGAGAGACTGCAAGCACGTCGTGTCAACGAGTCGACATGTGGGTGCCCTGGTGGCCCGACCCCATGGCCGGGAACGGGAGCGGGGCCTCAAGGCGCCTCAGAGGCTTGGCGCAGGTCGGCCCACTCCGCGGCCAGGACTGTCGCTCCCTGCCCAAATGCTTGTTACATGCAGGTATGCCACTCGCGCGTGGTGCATTTCTCCTCCCCCAAGCAGCCGGACACGCACTTACTGTACTATATAGCGCACAGCGCCCGCGACTCTCAACCAGGCAGGGACGCACGATCCAGCAACAGAATCCGGTCCCCCGGGAGGCAAACGGAAAAATGGACTCACGAGCGGAGGCGGACGCTCAGCGGCAGGCCATAGCGCAGCGCCCCTGGAGCGCGCCGAAAAAGTCGATCCGGCGAGGCTCGCCCGCCGAGACCGTCCCGATAAAGACGGCGCGGAAGCTGCGGCCCCCGACGCAAGGCGTCGCGGCGCGTCGGTCCAAAGCCGACGCCCCGGCGCCAGGCGTCACCGGTCAACCCGGGACGCGTCCCACCTTTATTTGCACCCGCCACTTGCGCTTCTTCTTGTCGTAGCTCACCCCCCTGTACTGCGACCTGTACAGGATCCCGTGCGTCTCCATCGACGGCCCCGCGCCGGTCGTGGTGGGCTCCGGCCCCGTCAGCATCCCGTCCCCAACGACCCCCCGGTGGACGAACTCCGGCCGCATGCCCGAGCCCAGACCACGCATCCCCGCCGCAGGCGCGGCGCGCCACTGCCCGCCCGGACTGCGGCCGATTGGCGGCTCGCACAGGGGCTGGCGGGGGGGGCCGTGGCCAGCTGATGGCGACGACTCCCCGCTGGACGTGGCGTCCCGGCCACGGCGGACGGCCATCACGCCGCCTCCCGCCGCCTCGTCGTCCTCGGGGGCGATCACTAGCCCCGCCTGGAGCAGCGCGCCGATCGGATCCTCCCCCTCCTCCGCGCCGGGGTCGGCCACCCCGCCCTGGCGCGGCGGGCTGTCGGCGTCCTCGTCTGTGGTGCCCCCCTCCGTGTCCGTATCAGAGGGCGACGCGCTGGGCAGGTCGTCCATCATGTCCTGGACCAGGCCGCGCGGGCCACCGCCCAGCATGCCTGCGCCACCCAGGACCTCTATCATAGGGAGGGCCCTGGGACCGCGGGCGCAGCTGTCACGCCGCTCTCACCATCCTCCCCTCCCGTGGTGCGCCTCCACTCGCTGTCGCCTCCCGGTCAATCGAAAATTCGCCCCGCTTGGACCCTGTGGCCCCTGTCCGCACCTCCTCCTACCGCCTGGTCCGTTCCTGCAGTCCCCTGCGCGCAGAGCGCCCCGAACAGCCTCAGCGCCCCATCCACCCAAACGGGCGCACGGGAGCCCGGTGACGGGTGTCCCCTGCCGACTTCACTTGGTTGCACGCATTCTCCAAACCCCTCGCCGATCAAGCCCCCTTCCAAGCCTCCACAACACCCCACTTCAACATTCGGGTCCCCCTCGCGCGCTGGCGAGCAACCATAGAACCCCCCCCCCCTGTGCAGGTCGCGCCAAACACAGATGCCACGCTCAGCGAGAACTGCCGCCCACCGCCTATCTTCACCACCTCGGCGTGGCCCCCCCCGGTGAAACGCGCGTGCCACCCCAGCACCGCCTTAACCCCGTTCCAACTACGGGCCGGCGCCTGACGGCCGGCGCTCCTCCCCCCCGTGCGCCTGCAGGCATGACAGAGAGGCGCCAAAACGCGCGCCTGACGGTGATCGGAGTCATGGCGCCCGCAGGTCGGACGCCGGGCCGGCAGCGCACCGGCCGCGGCGGCATCTCGGATGGCGTCCAACGTCCAACGACCCCAGCGCCGTCACCGGCGCCGCTGCAAGATCGCGCATGCCACAGCCCGCCACCTGCAAATTTTTGAGAAGGGCCGCGTGCGGAGATTGAGCGGCGCAAATTCCGTCGGGTCGGTCGGGAGGATGCGGGGAGAGGGGCGCGGACTTAGCGACGGTGTGTGCGCGGGGGTGTCGCGCCGCCTGCGCGCAAAACGAAGATGGTTGTCGAGCGGAGCGTCATGACAGGCGACATGGACAGCGCATACGACACCATGGCGCCCGGGGTACGGCGGGGTTCCGTCCGAACGCAGCGGCCAGTCGCGTCTGAGCGGCGTTTTCTCCTTGCCGCCGATCGGCTGGCGCGGGCGGCGCCGCAAGGTCAGGGCTCGTCCGCTGCCTCGCGCCTCGACCGTTTGCGCTGCGGGGTGAATGACGAACCCCAACGGGGCTTCGCACGATACTCGAAAACCCGGGTGCGAAAAGTTCCTCCTCGTCCCATTTCGCGCCCAACAGCGCACCCGTACGATCGGATGCGCGCTCGCGCGTCCCCCGGACCTCCCGCGGAGCATCAACCAGAACCTCGACGCAGGATCAGGTAAGCGGCCGCCGCCAAAAACACCGCATCCGAACCGGAAGGAAGCTCACCAAGGCGATGCGACCGCTCGCGGGCGCCCCTGCTTTCGAGCGCCGCTCGCTGCAACAGGCCGTGCCCCGCGCACGGCAGCCCACCTCTGCAGGAGGCGACCGCCGCGTTGATTTGCGCGTGTGCGCGACGCCCGCTGATGTTGCGTCAATGACTCGAGAGGGCGTTGGCTACCAACGCGAGCGTACGTGAGAGGAAGATGCAGGTGGCCCCGCGGGCCCCGGAGATTGCGCCCTGATGAGGTCCCGGCGATGCCGGGGGGAAGATGGGAACCAAGGGCCGGCGGCGCTCTGTGCGACTGCGGCCTATATTTGGATCCCGATCAGCGGAAACGGAGTGGGTTGCAGGGATCCCTCAGCGAGACTCCAAGGATAGTTGTCAGGTGCGCCCAAGGGACACCACGTTGGGGCGCGAGGGGCGACTTGGATCTCCATCAAGCGGCTCTGGGGCGCGCCCAGTGCGCCCAGCTCGCGCCAGGGGTGCCGCCGCACAGCGGCGTGTTTGTCGGCATGCCGTAAAGGGCGATTTTTCACTTGCGAAGGGGTGTCGTTCGCACCCTTGCAGGAGTCACGCGGGAGTAACAGGAGGGAGTCGGCACCAGTTTTTCGGCCAAGCGGGGGATGCGGTCAGGCGGTCTGTCATTGCGGGTGTGGGCTGCGAAACCTACTACCCAGGGAGAGTTTCTGCCAAGCAGCGGATGCGGTCAGGCGGTCCGTCATTGCGGGAGCGGGGCCGCGGAACCTACTACCCTGGGAGAGTTTCACGGGTGCGGTGGTGGCGGGCGCCGTGGCGTGAAAGAAGGCTGCCCTGATGGGGATGCATGCGCTGACGCCCGGCTTTCGATTCAGCGAAATGTGTGGCAGCCCTCGAATCAAAGCATAAGGAACTCCTGAGCATCGGACAGTGCTCCAGGCCTCTACAAGAGCAGGGCAAGCTGGGCTTTTCGAGGAACGTGGTGAAGGCCTCCCAATGCGAGTTTAATGCTCAGCGTGCTGCTTAGGTTAATACAGGCACTTCCTGCCAACTTACTTGTTACTTGACGCACCAAGATCCCTATGCTACTCCATGAAACGGGCTGGCTCACATTCTCGGTTGTGTGCTCGATAATGGATGGCAATAGGCAGTTCTCACCCCAAACAGTTCTGTAGCGCTCACTAGTAAAAACCAGGCCAGATGACATAGTCCTGACACGGTCTGCTCAAAATCCAACTGTGTACTTTCGGCAAATGTGGTCCCAAAAGTACACAGTTAATACACACATTGACACAGTTTTAACCACGTATCCTAGGAAACTGTGTAGTCTACACAGTTGTTTGAAGGTACACGGTTGAAACTGTGTCAATGTGTGTACTAACTGTGTACTTTTGGGACCACATTTGCCGAAAGTGCACAGTTGAATTTTGAACAGACCGTGTCAGGATTGTGTCATCTGGCCTGTTTTGTCCTAGTGGCTGGCGAAACTGCCTTCATTAACATGGTTAGCATTCAATGTAAATGATTGTTGATTTGATGTTCCAAATTTGACACCTCGCACGCTCGATTTCTGCAGAGCGCTCTTCAGAAATTAGAATAGAAATTGAGACAGCGCATGTGCATGGAAATTCAGCAACTCCATGCACACATGCGAAGTCTCAACTTCTATCCAAGTCAGTAAATGACTGGTAGGGTGTTGTGATGCTCTAGAGCAGTGCATTCTAAACCCAAGTCTAGTCATGTACTGAACTCGGAGTCAGTAACCCTGGGGTGAGTCACCCAATCTCTTTGCTAACGCCCCATGTCTTTTGTGCCTTAGTGTTGGGTTGGGGGCGCAGTAAGAACCAAAAGGACTCGGGAAGTATCAAGTTCTTGAGACACACCGGTGGGTCCCCCCGAAATTCCCTAAAAAATCGTAGCGTGGCGTCATCCATGCAGTCAACAGATGTGCGCTGACGAAGGTAGGGAGGGTTGAGTGGCATCGACCCCTGACTGGGCCATGTAAGCTCGAGTTCATGGCAACGGTTTACAGCCGAGCAAAGGGACAACAGGAGTTGTGTCCCTTATATCCAGTCCGTTCATCAATGTCCTTAATACAATTCCTAATGCCTCACCACATCTTCATGCGACCAGCTGTTAATAATACTCGATCAGTTCTAGTTATAACAGCGCCGAATTGTGCGCGTCATACCGTCGAATTTACTCGTTTAGGACGGTCAGTCTCCCCAACCGCCGCCGCGCATGAGGTTGTCTCCCGCATTTTCTGCGCCCCTCCGCGCCCTCTGCGGCGCCGTGCGCTGCGCGGCGCCTCGCCCCACCGCTGCGCCCGCGCCCCTCAGATGGCGGCCCACGTGGCCGGCGCCGGTCTGCGCCGGCGGCGGGGGGCCATCGATGATTTTGGCGCCAGCGGGTCGGTCGTCGCGGGGATTGTGCTGTGGGTCGGCGGCCGACGTCCAGGCGAATATCGCCGCCGAGGCCGGGGTGGAGATCCCCAAAGAGTGCTTCGGATGTGGCGTGAGGCTGCAGAGCCTGGACCCCGACAAGCCGGGGTGCGTGGCAATGGGAATTGGTGATCGTCAATGGGGATGGAGATTGCCGAAAGGAAATGGCGTGGAGGTTTGTCATCTGTGTGTGTGTGTGTGTGGGGAGCTTCTGATTGGGCGGATTCGTTGGGCGAGTGGTTGGGGCGAAGGACCATGTTCTGTGTGAGCCATCAACAAACAATGGGTGTCCAGCCCCCGATAAGAATTGGGAGTTTTTCAAATCCTTTGATTAAATTTGTCACCGAAACATGATAAAACACGGACCTTGCGCCAGAGTTGGGATAATGATTGGGATTTCCGTGCTATTCTACTTTTGCCAGGGGTGCCCCACAGTTCAGCAATTTTTTGTGCACACTGCAGAATACTCCAGAAGGGAGTGCACTGGATGCACAGAACACAGATTGACAGGCCATGGAACATGGGGCACAGTGCCCAATCTCTCCCCTTCTGTTTGGTTTATCAATGTGCACGATTATGTCTGACCTCTACCACGAAGTGTGCACATGGTCTTCTCCTGCACAAAGGCAGTATTGCGTTGGCTTTCTGCTTGGGCTGAAAGGTGCCATGGGAAACTGCATCAGGTATTTCCAAATCTCTAAGAAAGCTCTGGAAGAGCTTCGGCAGCAGCAAGCACAGGAAGACGCTGAAGTGCTGGCAGATTCAGAAACAGAAGGAGTTTTGAAAGCGGAGGGCTGTGAAGCCCAGGAAGATGCTGCAGTGGAGGGAGTTTTGAAGGTGGAAGCAGATTTGAGTGTTGATGGCAAGGGAGGCAGGATGGTGAGGAGGCATTCGGTCCACTTCGTTTACTTTTTGTGCACTTTAGGCTGTACACACACTTGCCACTGGGCATTGCTACAGGGCACAGACACGTGAGGCAGATGTGCTGGACACAGGGTTTGTGTTGCTGAGCAGCACTCCAGCACATTACTTTGCACTGAAGGATGCCACAAGGTCAAACTATCTGTATTATGTTAAGCAAAACTTTCTAAAGCATGAGCTCAACAGGGAACGTGGCAGGCGAACAAGAGCAAATGAAAGTTGTTGTCACAGTCAAGTCAAATTTGGGTGGTCAGGATATGAGTTCCCCATGGTTTTACTGAGTGCCAACTTGCAGTAAGAGGCAAAGACTGTGAACCGCCCGCTCCACAAGCAGCAATTGGGAGTGGTTGGTTTTGCACAGCCTGGTGCAGCGCTCTGCAATTTCTCCTTGTCAGCCTGTGGCACCTGCAGAACTTCTGGCTTATTCCAGGCAACCAACCTACTCAGGAACACTCCTCACACATTCCAGCGTTCGTGTGCCTGGCTGCCACTAAGGGCATTCTGCTCCGGGGGCAATGATTTGAATTCAGTTGACTTGTGTGCATGCTTTCTTGCTAGGTCAAGGCAGCCTTGCCTGCAGCTGACAGTGGTGATTCTGAGGAGCTGAGCAAGGTGCTCATGGGTACTGACCCAAAGGCTGACAAGGGACCCTCAGTTGAAGACCTATTTAATGCATTCGATGAAGGCCTGGAGAACTGGGGGGTGCGTGCTGCCCAAATTGGTTACCTGTCCACAATGCTGCCAACATGTGTGGTCAAGTGCCGTATACAAGACCGCCACTTGGAATTCAATATCTTTCCGTGTGAACACGACTGCACCAAGAATTGTGGTGTCAGTGATTGTTCTGTTTTTCCGTTGATGGGTAACATGTTCCTGCGGTGTTCACTAGGATATCGATAGTTGAGAGGTTCAATGCTGGGAAAGTTGTGGGAGTCAACGTCCTGCAAAAGCACAAAACGGTTTATGTGTTGGGCATCCACAGGCACTGTCACCTAGTTTGACTGCAGTGCTAGATTTCATACTCAATTGCAATGTTCCAAGTTTCCTGCAAGTTTGCTGTTGCAGCCTGATCTCAAATGCAGTATAGAGGCGTGTGGTGGCGACAAGCTGTGCCGGGAATCAATGCCAGCCCTAAATACGACCTTTGGTAAATGTAGCCTTTCATGCAGTGCAGAAGACGATACTGTTCATGTGTCATCTGAACCCAACTTTTGAACTCACAATATAAGATGCTAACAATACATCAGTGGTCTGCGATGGCAACACGCTGCTTGTCTAAAGAACACCGCTGATCCCACAACATCCAGCTTTGGGTGGGAATGAACCCATGTGTGTTTGCAGCTTGCATCCCCAGGCTCTGAGGAGCGCGATGCAATGGACTATGCCAAGCTCATGGACAAGATCAGGGAAGATGAGGCAGAAGCAGTAGTTGAGGAGGGTGTGAGCAGTGGCCTTAGGGTTCTGTGCACACGTTGCTATTCGCTCATAAACTATGGGTATGGGTGCACCCTTGGTTGCCAACCTGCATAGCCCTGAAGACGATGTTGGCCCATCCCATTTTCACCTGTGAGCCAACACGGTTACACTTGAACGACACTGCGCTTCACCTAATTGGTGCAAGGACTGTGATTTTGTGTAGTTTGTAAATGTGTTCGGTGCCGATTCCTGCCACATTTGCCATTACGTTGCACTGGTGGGAGGCATTGTACGGTGTTGCAAGGTTGTCTAAATTGCACCTTTCATTCACTGTGGAGACCAAAAGGTGTTTGCACTTGTATGACACTGCTGGCACAAGTGCAATTGATTCTGGGTTGGCTGGGTGATCTCTTGCCCTGCTGTGACAGTACGCAGATTTGGCCATGCAGTCAAATGCCATGTGCAAAACGGTGCATAAACAATGCACTATGCGTGGAATTATCATGGGATTAATTCCTGGGACAGTTCCTGTATTTCCTATCGCAGTTCTGTATTTCCCGCTGCGGTGGACATGCTAACAAAACGCCTTGTGGTAGAAAGGTGAAGAGCGAGGCAGGGGAGGCGCAGTTGCCAGAGTTCGACCTGGGCAAGCGGGTGGGAAGAAAGATCCAGCTGCAGAAGGGCAGGAGGGCCATTGTACTGTGTGTCGTCGACCTCGTCGATTTCGATGGTTCTCTCCCAAGGGAGGCGATCAGGTGAGCCTTGAATCTTTTTCTCTGTTGCGAATTTACATTACATTTATGGGTCAGGGCGCCGGCCCCGTCCCGATTGAGAAAAGGGGGAGTGTATGTGATGTATTTGCTGCATTGTTTAATTTGCTCAGACGATGTGCGAAATTGTGTGAAATTGGCAATTTATCCCAGCACCTGCGGGCACAAGGCCGCCGTCTCCTTGTAGCCGGGTGCAAGGCCAGTGCTATGGCACGTTGGGGGGCTTGTACACTCAAAGAGTTGAGCCTCGTCAGAAGTTCTGGGATATATGCATGTCCGTCATTGCCTGCAAGGTCCCAGCTTCGCCTTTCGAAGCAAGAACTAAAATCTGGCCTCGGCACAAGATTTCTCAACCATGGACATGTCGTGTTCGGGGCAATGCAATGCAGCAAGATTATCCTCGGCGGAATCTTCCCGCCCTGCAAGGTCCTGAAGGCTGATCCTGTGTCATGCTGGTAGGTCGCTGCTGCCTGTAGGAGCTGACGAGGCTCCGATGGGCTTCCGGTTGATTCTCGTGGCCAGCAAAGTGGATCTGCTCCCCAAGGTCGCGTCTAGCAGAAGACTACAGGTGATGTTCGTTTTTGTGTCCATGAGGGCGTGAAACACCCTCTGGAAAACCCATAACATTGAGAAATGGAAATTTCTTATCCTGGCATTGCTTCGTTGAAAGTGCTGTCCATATATCATGTTGCAATACTAGTCTCTTAACATGTGATGCACTACTTTGGAGTTTTGTCAGATATGAAGCACATTCTGTTGCTGTGATCTGATAAACACTGCTGGAAGCGACACCAATACATGGTTGAGCTCATGGCAACGTATATGCGGCTTACATGACTGAAAGGGCTAACAGAATATATTTACCTTGCTCTGTATGTTAGTCCATGTTAATAGCCTATAGCGAAGTGTGTAGCGTGTCCCATTTTGCACTTGGCAATCAGAGGATGGGCATCAGCGAATTTTGAATGAGCAGGCCACTGGAGAAACTCATGCCACAGGCGGTCTCCTGCACGCACATGACTTCACAAGCAATTGCAACAGGCGGAAGTTCATTGAGACCCGCACAAATGCACGGCGTTATTGCTTGTTCAATGACCCCCCTTCCTCCTCCCCCCTCCCGCCGTGTGCGTGTACGTGCAAGACAATATATTGTAAACGAGGACCTTGTCGTTACTTCATCATGGTCAACCGTCCTGTACGACAGGATTTCAGAGAGACGAATGTCACGCCGCCAGCGGGCCAGGTTCCCGGTGGGCCCTTGTAATGCCTGGTCAAGCCAAGGCGTGAACTTTGTTCCAGGGCAGCGCTAATCCTACTGTTGATGGCGCAACCCTGCTCAAACTCACTGGCAGTACCAGACGCGTGAGGGCCGGCACTCGTCCAATCTTTGTTCAGCGCTGACTATGCACTACCGAAAATATACTATGGGCTTCCTCCTTGCACGTGCACAAGTGAGTGCACGCAATGAGTAGATGGCGGTACAATCGCAATCGCGGTTCCTGGTACACGACAGTATTTTTTATTAGACAGTGTGTTGCCCCACGACAACAACTTACGATGGGCAGTACAGGTACGTTGAGCCCAGCAAGACCTTTACCCCAGTGCGCTAGTCAACAGAGCCACGCCATGTGTAACGCGTTGCGTTGCAGGTGTACGTGATGTGTTGCGCGCGTACCGCCTGTAGTAGGTTCGCACCCCTTGGAAGAGTGACCTCAAGCCCTGCACAACGCTTGTCAACCTGGTTTGGGCCAACCCCCTTGGGTTGGTCAACCCTTCCTGCGCAGAACGGCGACGGACGGCAGCCGATCCGCGGAAAGCGCGCAAAGGGGGCCGGCCGGTGGAAACGGCTGTCCGGTCCGCGGCCCAAACTGCAGCCAGCTCGGTGCCATATCAGAGGGTTCGACGCGCTGGGCCATCGCAGCGCTTGGCAAATCCGCACGGAGCATCCGCTTCGGATCTGAAATGGAGTTGTCTGGCGAAGCAGTGGCCTATCGTGCCGAAAAGTTCATGGCTGGATTTCCATGAGCCTCATGGCGCTTCTGCTGTCTTGCGCTTGTGCTTGTCTTGTGCTGCTGCTTGTCTTCTGCTTGTCTGAAGCGCGTGGCGCGTGGCCGTGTGCCCTCAGGACTGGGTCCGCATGCGGGCGCGGCAGGGCGGCTTCCCGCCTCTGGCCTCGGTGCACCTGGTGAGCTCCACGCAGCAGAGCGGCGTGCGGCCCCTCCTGCTGGACGTCGTGCGGTCCGCGGGCGTGCGCGGCGACGTCTGGGTGGTCGGGGCGCAGAACTCCGGCAAGAGCTCTCTCATCAACGCCCTGCGCAAGGCCTCCCGCGCCCGCGACAGAAGTAAGCTGCCCCCTACCACTCGACGCCCGCGTCCTCCTCCTCGCTGTGCATCAATTTGAGGGAAAGGGGTATTAGGTAGCCTCGGGGACCTCTTTCTTGTTGTGATGGATGTGTTTTGACGCTGAACTATTCGGGAACCATCCCGGACGCCAGCTACACTAGTAGAAAACGGTGTGTTTGCGATACCAACTGCGATGCCATTTCGACACAAAATGTTGCCATCGCAGTGATTAAGATGGCATAAAAGCGGCTGTGATGGCATCAATGTCTGTCAAATGGCACCGCAGTTGGCAACGCAAACAGGCCGTTTTCTGCTGGTGCTAGCTCGCCATACACTCCGCCCCCCCCACCCCTCATCCCCCACTCCCACCCCATCGTCTTTTCCCGGCCGCGTGTCGCAAACTTGGCGCTTTTTGAGCTCCATTGATTGAACCGATGTCCACTTTCTAGTCGCACGTCATGAACAGCGCAGCCCCTGCATCTTGCAGTCGACAGGCGCAATGCCGCAGCCCCAGGCGCCCTGCGAACGGCGCGCATCCTCTGGCCCCTTTGGCGCCTCCGCCCGTCATTGGCGCCCCAGGGATCCTACCCACGATTCGCGACCGACCCGCCGTGATTCGTGACTGACTCGCCTGCTTTAATTGGATACCGCAGGGTCGCTGACCACGGCCGCGCTGCCTGGCACGACGCTGGGGCTGGTGGAGGTGAAGGGCCTGCCGCTGCCGGAGAAGTGCCGCGTATACGACACGCCAGGCGTGTGCCATCGGCACCAGCTGTCGGCCAAGCTGCCGTTCGAGGAGGTGCGCTTAACCTGAACATCGCCGATTCGTTGTGTCCGGGTGGAAATAGCTGCGGTGGGGGCGCATTGCCTAAAGTGGTTCGGTTTGCCCAAATGGTGGCGTGCGCTTCTAGAATATGCTGGTGCGACTATTTGTTTCTACCTTGTTATTTTTATCGGCGTAGTATGCAGGAAGATGCCACATGTATACCTCTGACCTGTTGAAGTATTATGTATCGTCACGTAGTATTATTTTCAATGTTTGGCGTTAGGTTGTCGTGGGTACTTGACCTTGGGCTGTTCAGTTTCTTGGCACTTTCTTTGCATCCCTGGCCAGTGCCAGTTTGATGCCCAGCGAGCAGCACAGCAAAATGGAGCGAACAGCCTTTGCAAGTGTTCTACTTGCCTAGTGCTTTGGCAACTGTTAGCACTTGTCCAATACTTGTGGAATTGCCAGTTGTCGTTTTATAATTTGGCAACAGCAAGAGCAGCAGAACATGCTCACACTACATTGGCAACATGTGTAAACACAACAGTTCTGCAACAGTGTGGCATCACCTTCCCACCAACTTCCAGATGCATATGGAATGTGGCTAGAAGTTGATGTCGCACTACAGGTATAATTTCGTTGATGCGATGCCGATCTACGTTGCGGCGATGCTCTTTGGTCAATGACAACAAACGGTGATGCGGAAGCCAACGCTTCCTGAATGTTGACACACTAGCCCTCCTTGTGCTTTGAGCATCTTCTGGGCCGGTGTGACTAGAAGACTGTATGTATCCGACTGACACATAGTCTACAGTTAGTCATGATGAGTGACATGTCTTGTCCATGGTGGAGCCAAAGCCATGGGAAAGTTGTGGAGGCAGCTGTGGGCCTGGGGTTGAAGCCCAAATGCGTACTTGTTGAGGGACTTGCATCTGTTGGACTTTGGTCAATCTGTCGGGCAATGGGTGATGGTCAAGGTGCCCACAACTCACCATGCAAGTCGTACGCTTTAACATCAATACTTACCAAAGCACAGAAAGCCACTGCCATTTTGCCAAATACTCAGTGTCAATATGATGTGCTGCGTACTGTCAGGACACCCTGCTTTGGGAAATGGGAACAGTGAGATAACAAGTCCACCACTTGAATTGTGGCGGTGCTGCCTGATTGACCAGTCATGCTCATAGGCATTGCCATCTGCACGTTGCCGTTGTTAACGTACTCATCCCCTTCCCCCACCCCCTCCTTTTGGCGCACGAATGCACCACCCAGCATGTGCTCTCTGGCACGCTTGGTTGCCACCACAAACTGCACACTGCAGGGTCTTCTCCTTTTGCCTCCTCTGCTTGCGAAAGGCAACTGTGCCCAACAGCTCGGCAGGCGACGGCCCTGGGGCCCTGCTTGTGCACACAATGGGACTTCGTTGGAGCCGCGACCCGTTGAGCAGCAGCACGTCGATGGACTGGAGGGATGCCAGCTACCACCGAGCGCTTCGTCGAACTTGCTAAGCATCCGCTGACACGACAAATCGCACTCTGGCCTGTATCAGCGAAGGCGTTGCAAGGCTCAGTACGGTGGCCACATTTTCACACTGCCCGCGTCCAGAATTGCACATGGCGTCAGTCGACGGCGCCGATCATGGTCTCCGCGAGGCCGCCCCGCTTTCACGAGCGCCCCGCGCGGCGCATGACCAGCCTCACGCCACATTTGTTCCCCCGAGGCCGAATTCGAATCAGAGTATGCTACTTGCTGCAAACGACTGACCCATGGACGCCCCAACTGACCCACGTTCGCTCCCGCCCCAGGTGCGCATGCTCCTTCCGCGGCGCAGGCTCAGGCCGCGGACGTACCGCGTGGGCACGGGCCACACGCTGCTGGTGGGTGGCGTCGCGCGGCTGGACGTCCTTGCCTGCCCCTCCAGCACGCTGTACATAACCCTGTGGGCATCTGACGAGGTGACATGCCACATGGGGAAGACGGAAAGCGCTGAGGAGCGGAGAGCGGCGCACGGGGGGGATCGGCTGCGGCCGCCGATTGGGGGCGAGGGGGAAGGCGAGGCGGCGCGGGAGGTGCGCCTCGAGCCCTGCGTCGTGGAACTCGAGGGGTCGTCCTGGAAGGCCAGCTCGGAGGACGTCCACATCGCGGGTAAGACCGCACACCTTGAAGCTGTGTTGTGGACCCGGGGGCCCCCTCTGGTGGCTGGGAACACGGTGCGCGGGGTGGGCACCTGCTCAGTACTTTGTTCGGGCCGGTGCTTCGTTTGACAGTTCCCACCCGGGGTCGTGGTCGGGGGGGTTTCGGTAAGTTATGAGGGGCCCGCATCCCGGGGATCACGCGCGGCGATGCGGTGAGGGAGGGCGCTCAAGGGGGCAAAACGGCCCGATGGGCGGTGTCATGGGCGTCAGCTGGGATGGGGCCATGCGAGTATCGGCTGATTGGAATCGATCGGCCGAACAGTTGGAACTTCACAAGGGACAGGTGAGAACTGCTCGTACCCAACGAGAGGGCAGCCATGTCTGTTGGATCCCGCTTCCGCGCGGAGCGCGTGAAAACGGGGCATGACTCCGTTCTCACCATTGCGCCCATCAGAGAGGGCATTCGTCGCACGGCGTTCGATCTTTTGATCGATCAGCCGGGCCAACGGGGCCACATAGTGCCAGTGTACGCGATCTCCGCCGCTTATTTGCCCAGCCTACCCCTTTTGAGTCATCGTCCGCGCCGTTGATGTGCATTCGATATGCTCCAGCAGCGCGCGGGGCTGCCGGCAGGCGTCGGGTTGGTCGATCAGGCAACCACCAAGGTTCCATTCCGAACTACAGTTGGATTAAGAGCGCGCGCCAGGGAGGTGTTTTTGCAGTTCGTGTCTATGCATTGCGAGAAATCGCTGCTTGCGTCTGTCCCAGCTCGCCATCTTTCAGAAATGTGCCTTTTGGTGCATTCTCGGAAACAGTTTATTCTGCCAAATCAAATATTCGTACATTATTGATAATGGGTACAGTTGCTACAATGTTTATGTTTTCTTTAGACAAACTGTAGGTGCTTCTATTCCCAAGCGAAATTGGAATTAAAGGCCACCCCTTCTCGATAAAGCCCCCAGCTCCAATCTGGTTTGTTTCCTCTGACAGTGTACGTGCGCTTGCTAGCCGTTGTTGGTACTGGCTAACAACACCAAGCATTGTACTTTGTGCAATGCAGGACTGGGGTGGATAGGCGTTGGGCTCGTGGGAACGGCCAAATTTCGGGTCTGGGCCCCACCAGGCGTGGCAGTGACAACGCGGAGGGCACTGATGCCAGACTACGCCACGAAGTTCGAAAAGCCCGGATTCAGCGGCGTGGCAGAAAAGGGGGGCAAAGAGAAAAAGCAGAAAAACAAGAAACGAACGTGAGGTGTCCATAGCTGCACAGGCTGCAACACAGGATCTGGTTTTGTGGTTCGCCTGAGCTCCCGATCACGCATGTGGGAAGCCAACCATGACTGGTAGCCCTTGCGCAAGGGCTTCAGTGGCACAGGCAATGGAACAAAGGCTGGTTGGATGTTGCGGTGCGCAACATCGCCTTTGAGGTGGAGGGCCTTCGCCTGCCAGTATCTGTGATGGAGTGAACCGCAGAACTGCGCGCGGGGCATTTTTTCGCACTTCTTTGTTCCTAAACAGTGCGTTGGTGAAGCGCGGCTGTGTTGAGGGCGGCGCGCCGCAATTTGAGAGTTCCCACATCTTCATATCCTCGTTGATTTGAAGGTTTGAGAGAGAGGGACGAGGAACAGAATGTGACAGGAAGAATAATGTGAACCTTTCGCCACCTTCGACTTGGGCTAAGGTGCGTGGCCACATATTGATTGCGTTTGACAAATGTAGTCACGGAGGCATCTCAACAATGTTTGTCCAGCGCATTTGCTCCTTCCACAATGGCACCCTATTCATAGGGTGCCGTCACAGCATATGCTTGTAGTGCGTTTTTAGCGCAGTGGGTCCCAAGGCAACTATTCAACGCAACTCGATCAGTGTTGTCGGTGTTGTTTACCGCACTGCTGTTTGACATTGTAGTGCAGACTTACGATTGCTGGCCCCACCCCTTTTCGTGGTTCCGAGGTGATCGAGGGAAAAAAGCTTGAGATGCAACTGCGTCGTCTCGCTTAGTGGAGGAAGCAGTTGGCTGCGCTGCTATTTTTACAAGAGTGTTCGCTGGGCCATTCCTGTATGGTCTGAAAGCACAGTTTTGAGAACAACGCCAAATCTACAGTACGAAACACCCGCGTGCCATCATCTGAATCTCGCTGCAAGCAATGTGTCACGAGGCTCAGAAGACACCCTCCATTCAAGCGACAACAAGTGCTTTCCGCTCATTAGTAAATATGCAACTGAACTTGCGTTGTGACGTGCGTCCATGTGCAGATGTGATTGAGCATAGTTTATGGTTTTCAATAGGGCGATGTGGTCCGCACCTTGGATGCGCCAGGCACTCTGGGGAGCGCTGGCAGCTGGATGCATTTCTGGCTGCCTGTTCCTTGGCAGTTTGAACCCTGGTCTGCAGGCTGCGACTGGACGTGGGCCAAGGGATGAGGGGGTACTTGGCGCGCGAGATTACGCTTTCATTGTTTGGGGGGTCTGGGAGGCGCTGAGCATCCCTCCACCCAATGCAGCCGTGGTCCAACCGACTGGTGGATGGATTGGCCTGATGGGCAATGGGACCAGCACTTTAGCCATCAACATTGTTGAAGAAGATTATGAACAACATCATGGCAAGAAAACGGGTCCGCAGCCGAAAAAAAAAACTCCACTGTCGTTGCAAACAATGTTCCTTCAATTTCGCTGTGCTGGACAAAAATAGGTGGCTCAGCGAACCGGCTGGCCAAACGGGGAGGAAAGGTAAAAATTTTCTCTCATTTCCTTCTGGCAGTATGGGAAGCTGGCTTCTGGCTTCCGTCTTCCTTGACGTCCAGCATTTTTCCAACTCTTCAGGACCTGCGTGCAAGGCATGGAGGAAACTGTGGTCATTGCGGGTCAATACCGGGACGCCCGAATATCGCATTATTCACCCCCGCCCGCAACTTCAGGGCCGCTGCCCCTTCGACGCACAGTCAGCCCACGCCCACCCACACCGTCCATGGTCCAAGCACCCCAAACTGGCACCGGCCCCCCCACGGCCCTGATTCACCATCGCCTGGCCTGGCCCCGCCGACGGACGCCCCGCCGCCGGCCGCCGAGCGGGAAAGCGACAGGTTGCGAGGCGCTGGGACGTTGCCCACCCGGTGAACGAACGAGATCCCCCCCACTCCACCCCGCACACACACCCCACCAGGTGCTGTAACGCACATTCGGCCCAAAGAACACGTCCAGGAGCGGAGGAGAAGAACAAGTTCAGGAGCGGACGATCTTTGCCGGGGCACGGCTCGCTCGCGGCACGAGTCGCGCCGCCGCGCCGCCGCGCCGCCGATCGGCCTCGGCGCCCTGCGGGAGGCTCCGCAGCGATGGCCGGCATGCTGTTCGGCAGCCCGCCGGTGCTCTCCACCCGGCGCAGGCCGTCGCCGACGAGCGCCCCCGCGTCCCACGGCAGCTGCCCGGGGTCGTTCGAGGATGCGCCCCGCGCGGCCAGGCGGTGCAGCGTGGACCAGACCGGGGGCATGGTGGGGATGTGCGCGCCGGACGGGTCCGTCTGGGCGCTCCCTGGGGGCTTTCCCGCAGTGGAGGTGGCGTCGCGGCGCGGGCGAGGGCCGACGGGTGGCCCCGGGCTGCTGAGCATGGAGCTGGGATGCGGGGGAGACGTGGCGGCGCCGGCGAAGGGCGATGAGCGCGGTCAGGTGCGGGGGGCGACTGTGATCGCAGGTGTATTGTCTGGTGAAAATCTTTTGCCGTTGGATGTGCTTGGTGAACGGATTGGCAAGGTTGGAAACATGGGCGGGTCGCCGGCCACCCATTGCGGCGGAAGGGCCTCTGTGGCCTGGCGCGGGACTCCTCCGGAGATCGCTGATGGCGGGCGCGACCGCTCTGACCTTCCGACTTCCCTGGCCCCGCCCTTCGACCCTGCGACTCCCGACATGGCGCCCCGCCGCGGGCTGACGAGCGCCTGTCCGGCTGTCTCGTCCACAGGTCAGCGGCGCGCCTGGCGGGGCGGCTGCGAGGCGCGTCAGGCCGCCTTGGGAGCTGTCGAGGCTGCAGGTGAGCGCCGGCCTTCGGGCGCCCCCCCTCCCCCCCCGAACTGGCCACCGCCATTCAGATCCACACAGGCCCGCCCCGCTGCCGCCCCCCTGGGAAGAGTCGAGGCGTCCGATATTCGCCTCGGCCGGAGCATATGCGGCTTCGCTCCTGCGGGTTCCGCCCCTTGGCTCGTGTGCACGAAAACGTCCGCCGAGTTTGGGCGCCACGCTCTGGCGCGAGCACCTGGCGACCTGATCAGCGGCGCCCTTCGCGCCACCGGCCGCCCTTCGCGATCGCCTTTGCCTCTCAAAGGGTCTCAACGCGCTGTCCTCGATCCTCAGCGCCCCTGTTTGACGATCTCGTCCCGTTGCCCGCCAGGAGGAGCACGCGGTGTTCAGCAGCGACCTGGTGGTGGCCGCGTACCACCTGGCGGGCTGCGCACACCAGGGCCAGTGGCGCAAGAGCGGCGACCCCGTGCTCTCCCACTGCGCCGAGACCGCCAGGATCCTCGCCCAGCTGAACGCGGACGAGACGACCGTGGCGGCCGCCCTCCTGCATGACGTCCTGGATGACACCTCCACCCCCAAGGACCTCATCGAGAGCCGTGTGGGGGGGGACGTGCTTGATCTGGTGCGCAAGGTGGGCAACGTGAGCCGGCTGAGCCAGCTGGTGCGCGACAGCGCCCATGACTTGGCTGAAGAGGACTACTCGCGGCTGAGGGACATGCTGGTGGCGATCAGCGACGCCCGAGTGGTGCTGATCAAGCTGGCGGACCGGCTGCACAACATGCGCACGCTTGGCGCCCTGCGTGCCAACAAGCAGGCGCGCGTGGCCGACGAGACGCTGAGGGTGTTTGCGCCGCTGGCAGAGAGGCTCAACGCCTGGAGCCTGAAATCGGAGCTGGAGGATCTGGCTTTCGGGGTCCTGGAGCCGGACAGGAAGGCGGCACTGAGGGCGGAGTACGAGGGGATAATGGAGAGCCGGCGGGACAGCGATCTGGGGGGGGCCCTGGAGCGGCTCAAGGCGGGGCTGGAGGGGGAGGGGGTGGTGTGGGAGGACATCTCTGGCAGGAGGAAGAGCCTGTACGGCGTGGCCAGGAAGATGGAGAGGAAGGGGTACGAGAGCATGAGCGAGGTGCCGGACCTGCTGGCGCTGCGGGTGGTGGTGAGGAGCAAGGTGGACTGCTACGCGGTGCTGAGGAAGGTGCATCAGCTGTGGAGGGCGGTGCCTGGCAGGCTGAAGGACTACATCAGGAACCCCAAGGCGAATGGGTGAGATTTGTTGACAGGAATGAGAAGTAAAGGGCACCCCTTCCTGAGCAAGTGTGTGTGAGACATGTTGCTGCACTGTGACACCATGATGTGCAGTCTCCAAGTGCATTGCCGTGGTGAAGGGGTATGCGGATTTTTCTTTGTCCTTTCTGTCAGCACTCTGGGCACGTATGTTCTTGCCTGGAGCAGGACACACAAGTTTGATTCCTGCCTATATGAGCAGTGAACCCGTATGTCGAAATACGGTGGTGTGTTTGCAACCAGTACTTGAGCAGTCAAGCAGCCTTGACCACTTGCCCTTCAGAGGTTTTAACCTGGGCGAATCGAGCCTGTCGCATTCGGCATTTGGCAAAGGGCACAGCTCTTGCGTCTGCATAAATTGCTGACCAGGTGCCCACTTTGCACAACGACCTGCACCCCAACCCACAAGTCATCACAGTCTGCTATCCAACAAAGTTTTACAATCTATTCAAAAACAATTTTTGTGACATGTGCACAGATACCAGTCGATCCATGAGGACGTACAGGCGCCTGACGGCAGTACCTTTGAGGTCCAGATACGCACCGACAAGATGCACTACATTGCCGAGCATGGGCTGGCAGCCCACTGGCGCTACAAAGAAGCGGGCGAGGCAGGTAGCGTGAGCGAGTTTGTGGCAGCCCGCACCCTATGGTCACAGTACGTGCTGGGCTGGGTGTTGGAGGTCAATGACAAGAAGCTCAGGCCCAGTGGCTGTGCCACTGAGGGCTCCATCTGGAAGACCTGTACAACCTTTGCTGATGACCGTGGTAGCCGGATGGATGGCAGGTTGGGGTGTAGGCACCACGCACAGCCCCCTCCAAGGCCTGTGACGGAGCACGATTTCTGGGAGCCCCTGTACGTTGCCGTGAGTGGCCCCAAGGGGCTGGATGTGTGCCAGTTGAGCCGGGGCTGCACCTTGGGCCAGTACATGCTGACACGGGTGGGCATGGACTGGCCGACGAGGGGCCTGCCCACTGTGAATGGGCAGCTCGTGTCGACGGGCTACGCTTTGCGCTTTGGGGACGTGTTGGAGTTTCCAGACGAGAGCCAGGGGTTGGATGTGTACTCGATGTCTGGATTTGCAAACCTGGACTTGGACAAGGCCCCTGGCGGCTTGGAGTCCATGGGGGAAAGGGACGCGCCCCAAGAGGTGGCCCTTGGGTGATTGACCCCCAAGTTGAAGGTCGCTCCGTGGATTTAAGCGGACTGGTGCTTGGGGCATGCAGTGTCCTGATGGAGGGGCAACTATTTATTGTCGAGTCTTACAAAGAACACCAATTGGAGTGAACTGAATTTCGGGGCAACTGGAGCTCTGTACGATGCTGTGTACAAGTATGTTGTATCACTACTGATTGTTGTGCTCAACACATGATTCCTTACATTTGTGCTGATAATTGATTTGCTGGGGCCCAGGTGTCCACTGGCCATACAGGGATAGGTTCATGGGGGGCCGATGGGTCAGAGCATGTATGCAGGGGGGGGTGTTGAGGGTTAGGGGGGTTTGTGTTGCACTGTGTATGTACTAGTAATGCCCCAATGACTTGATAAGGGCCGCTCCGCTGTGGGTTGGCGCTGGAGTAGTTGGGTTGTCCGATCAAGGGGCCCACCCGCGTTTACATTGCTATCTGCTATTGTTGGATTTCTATCACCCACTGCCAGGGCGCTGCATGGAGTACCCTTGCTACAGGATGTGTGGGATCAACGAACGAGCGATGGTTTAATGTGTTGCAGATTTGACAACGTGAATTCTTTTCTGTATGGGTGCGAGAGTAGTGAATGTCCTGGCAGCATTGGGACTCAGGGCTTCCTCATGCTCTGTGGCTGTGTGTGGGGTTGTGCTGGTGTGTTGGAACCAAAGATGGGAGCAGTTGTTGAGTCGTTGATGCTCGCTCTGTGTAAGGAATGCTGGGGGCTGTGGCGGTTCTGGTTGTTGGGGGGTATTGGGATTTGCCTGGCACAGACGCGGGCACCCTAGCCCACGGACTGTTCATTTAATGGAGCAACAGAAATTTGGATGGCTTTCATAACGGTGACCAATGGCCAGTGCCACGACTTGACGGACAGCAACCTCCTCGTGCTTGGTCCTTCTTGACCTGCGCCGACGCCCTCAACCGTCACCCCTGCTGCGACCTTCACAGTGTCACGAAATGTGTCGAATCCAGAGTCCGAAGGTCCTGAGCAGGACACTGTTCAAGCCGAGGCACGAGTTGCACACTCAGACAGTCTGTGAGTCAAAACAGAATACAGCACAGATGGTGCGTCTGTGCCTGCAGGCGCGCCATTCAGGTTGCGGTTCCTAACTTTTGTCAGCCGTAGAAAGACTCCCGGGTGTCCTGGGAAAGGAACAACCAAAGTCAACTTTGAATAGCGCAAGCTGTCTGTCCAAGCACACGTTGAACCCCATGAGCGCTCTGTCAAAAGACATCTGCAGCTTTCAACAGTGAGGCTGGCGCCTCAATGGCTCTCAACTGATGCGTTTGAGGCCTTCCTTGAAGATTGGACACTTGGGGAGGGTTTAGAAACAGGTCGCGTGCTGTTTACAGCTGATCCGCGGTGTTTTTCTGTCCTCCTTATGTCGATTTTGTGGCAATGGCATAATCTCTTCCTATCACAGGTCTGGAACCTCCCCCCCTAGCATCAAATTGACGCCAGGCGTAACAATATCGACACAGCGCCTTCCTTAGGAAAATGGCCCCAAAAGAGGGGCACTGGCTAGGCGCCATCCCTGGACATTGTTCCAGTAGCACCTAACCTCCTAAGACAAAAAAGACACCAAAACAAAAGCAAACTGAACCTAAAACCGCACCCCTAAACAACTAAAGGACACTAAGACACCAAAACTCAAAAATGTAAACCCTACAAAACAAAACAAACAGGCTAAAAAACGTAAACCAAACCCTAAGGCGCTAACGCTAAACCCCTAAAACCCTAGGTCCTCATAAACTTGCGAATAAACTGGCCCTAAAACCAACGTAACCTAAAAACTGAACGGTTAGGGAAGACGCTATGTCGATTTGGGTACGCTTAGTGTCAATTTGACGTCTAGACCCGACCTCCCCGCCTTGTATGCTGGACTTGTAGTGGGACGTATAGGGTCGTCCAGGATTGCCGGGAGCTTTTTCTTCGGGATGTTGCCGGGTGCTGAATATCGGGTGGCTGGGCCTTGGATGCATGGTCAGGTACTTGGAGGCTTTACATTACGCTTGACATTCCGCACGTTCTCTACCTTTCATACAGCCCCCCAAGTGCATATTTTTTGCCTATGACTTGCTTGTGTTGTGTGCTCATCTTTGCTTCAAAGAGTCTATCATCTCTTCATACCATGGAAGAGAGCCTCACACGCACTTGCCTAGGCGGGGGTGCCCTTTGTATGACCTGTTTCTCTTTCTCTCTTGTAACAAATCTTACCCCCTCGCCCCTTCCCTAGCATCAATCCTTATGTAGATGGCAGGATGACACAACAACCTCACATAACAGGGCTAGACAATTTCAAGGTGTTCTATAGGAACACAAACTGCCAAATCGTAGCGATTGTAATACGCTGAAAAAGGTGATAATGATTGCCATTTCAGGTGATTGGGGCAGCCCCGATGGCTGTCTGTTTGGGGTATTTTGGGGTCTTGAGTTAAGTTTGAATGCTTTCGGGACAAGTCAGAGCCGCCGTCTGCCTTGAATCAACCACATTTTGCATAGCTTCAGACCTAATGTTGGAATTGTGTCAATTACATAATCTCTTAGCTTCACAGCGTCAAATTCACACGAAGCATACCAATTTCGACATAGTGCCTTCCCTTAACCAACCGCGGTGCCATGTACTGGGTGCACCGCCGGCCAGCGGTGCATGAAAAATGCTCTACCTTTGCACGGCGCATGTTTCTGCCTTACCGGTCTCCTGAGCCCACCCCGTCATGTACCCCCATGACAATAATTACAAACACCGTTAACTTTCACATTCCCGAGGTTCCCGTCCTTTAAACTTGCCCATTCGCTTCGCTAGTACTTCAATGCCACTTCAGTGAGTGACTCCCCGTGAGTCAGCTCCCTTTCCCGTACTGCACTCCCTCAACTCCCTCTCCATCCCACAACTAACCCGAACTCCACTATCCAGGGCGGGAGGGCTCGGTGCGAAACAAGATAAGGAGGGGGACCGAGGGGCTGCCTAAATAGCCGCCCTCCGCCGCCCCGCCAAAGCCCGCCAAACTCGAGGGCGCCCTCGCGGGCGGCACCTCGGAATACCGTACTTTGACTGACCCACGGTACTAGGGGTGGCCAGAAATCCCAAGGGACGGGGTTGAGTAAACCCCAGGTTCAAACTGCACCGTTTGAATCGCCGGTGCAGCCCACCCATCGTCGCCCTTGGCAGAAACCCATTAACAGGATAGTTAACTTCATTTCTGCCTTACCGGTCTCCTGAGCCCACCCCGTCATGTACCCCCATGACAATAATTACAAACACCGTTAACTTTCACATTCCCGAGGTTCCCGTCCTTTAAACTTGCCCAGTCACTCTACGGGAACTCGAGGCCCCTCCGGGGCAGAAGATGTGCCCGAACTGCTCATGCAGGTCGCGGGCGGTGATGGTCATCCAACCGAACAACCGAAAATCCCACTCAGTGGGTAAACGAAAAATATCTATGTACGACCACAGTGCGTCTGACTTCCACGCACCCCAATCCCGAATACGCCGCTCCGCGACCTCCAAGGCGAAGCAACTGGACGCGCCCCCACCGCGCAGGCCATGATGCGTGAACGGCTCTTGGGCGAGGTCCGGAAAGTGCGCGAGGAGGGACGAGAACCAGGAGGCCACGGTCTTGGACGAAGGGGTGGCGTCGCCGGGAAGGCGGTAGAAATGGCGCGGCGGTTGATCCGTCTGCGCCCAGGCGTGATCGCGGAACTGCGTCCACCGGCGCAGCAAGTCGACGACTTCGGGGGTTCCACGAGAAGGCCAAGAGCGATAGCGCGACCGGGGCTCCTCCCCCGGGCGCAGCTTGGTCTTGCGCTCGCGGAAGATCACCACCTCCTCGTCGATGCGAACGTCGTCGACCAGAAATTAATGGCCCGACTGGGCCCGATTGAAAAAGATGTAGGCGAGGTGGGCCGCGCACGCCGCCCGAAGGGTGGGCCCATCCTCGGTGGTGAGGCCAACCTCCAGGATGCGTAGCATCAAGGAAATGGGGACCGGCCGGCGATGCTGCACCGGTGCCGGAGCCGCCCGTCGCCAAGCGCGGGTGAGGATGCGGGTGACCGGGTCGAAGGCGGAGAAGCCTAAGTGACCCGCGACATGGTGCTTCATGGAAATGGCGGCCAGATATTGGGGCAGGGACCCCACGCCCACCTTGCCTTCCTCCTGAAGGAAACGAATGTACCGGTAGATCGAGGCCCGCCGGGCGGGGAGGGCCTCGAGGCCGTGCTCCGCGCAGAAACGCTGGAAGCGCGAGAACTTGGCTTGGAGCGTCCGCCGAGTGGCCTCCATGTAGGACTGTAGGAATTGGTGCTCCATCCAGCAGCGATCATCGCGGAGTAGGCCGTCCAAATCGGTGCCATACAGCGGGTCATCCTCCGCCAGCGGCTCCAAGGGAACGGCAGTTGCCGGCAGGTCGGCCGGCGGGGAAGGTGGGGCCTCCGACAGAATCACGCCTTCCTCCGATTCGGTCTCAGATGGCGCAGCGTCCTCTCGCGCGGGCACACATGGAATGCCCGCAGATTCCACCGCGGGGGGGGAAGAGACGCCGGGAGAGTCGGGTCGCCGGGGAGAAAGAGGTTGGCCTGGCGGGGAATCGATAGCTCCGCCCGAGCGATTGCTCGGAGTGAGCGAAACCAAACCGCGCTCGGCCAGTCCGGCGCGAGCACCACCGCCTCCAGCTCCGGGCGTAAGGCAAGGAAGGACACGAGCCGCGCGAGGAGGCTCCACGGGGGATTGCGCCAAGACCTGGTGCCGCTCCAATCCTACTGGAAGGCATCCACTCCTGCCGTACCGACGTCCCAGTACTGACTGTTGAACTGTGCGCAAAGGGCATTCCGGGCGGACGCGAATCGGTCCACAGAATAGGCCCCGAAGCTGCGGGCGACCTCCCGGAATATGCGCGGATTCAGGCGGTAGTCCTCCGAGGTCCGTATACGGGAAAGCCGGTCCGGCAGTATGTTCTCCGCCAAGGGAATGTACTC